GAGGAAAATCCCTGAACAAACCGACGATAATAACCTGCCAACCCAAGGAAACTACGAATCTCTGTGGCGGAGGTCGGTCTAGGCCAACTCTGCACCGCCTCTATCTTCTTCGGGTCGACCTGAATACCCTCGCTGGACACCACATGCCCCGAGAAAGCCACTGAACTGAGCCAAAACTCACACTTGGAGAACTTTGCATAAAGTTTCTCCTCCCTCAATCTCTGCAATACAACTCGCAAATGCTGCACATGCTCCTCCTGACTACGCGAGTACACCAGAATATCATCAATAAAAACAATGATGAACGAATCCATATGCGGACGAAACACAATGTTCATCAAATGCATGAACGCTGCTGGGGCATTAGTCAGCCCAAAGGACATAACAAGAAACTCATAGTGCCCATATCTAGTCCTGAAAGCAGTCTTCATAATATCTGAATCCCTGATCTTCAACTGGTGATAGCCCGAACGGAGGTCAATCTTGGAGAGCACCCTCGCTCCCTGAAGCTGATCAAATAAATCATCAATACGAGGAAGGGGGTACTTGTTCTTCCCTGTTACTTTGTTCAATTACCTGTAGTCAATGCATATTCTCATGGGACCATCTTTCTTTTTCACAAACAGAACTGGTGCACCCCACGGTGACACGCTAGGCCGAGTGAACCCCTTATCTAGGAGTTCCTGAAGCTGATCCTTTAATTCATTCAACTCTGCTGGTGCCATACGATACGGTGGAATGGAAATGGGCTGTGCCCGGCACCAGGTCAATACCAAAATCAATGTCCCTGTCCGGCGGCATGCCCGACAGGTCTGTAGGAAACACATCTGGAAACTCCCTCACAACCGGGACAGAATCAATGTTAGGAGTCTCGGCTCCCACATCCCTCACATATGCCAAATACGAGAGACAACCCTTCCCAACCATACGCTGGGCCTTTAGGAATGAGATCACCCTACTAGGAACATAGTCAGTCATACCACGCCACTCGATCCTCGGTACACCCGGTATAGCCAGAGTGACTGTCTTAGCATGACAGTCTAGAATACCATGACACGGAGATAACCAGTCCATGCCCAAAATAACATCAAAATCTACCATGCTCAATAGCAACAGATCAACTCGGGTCTCCAAACCCCAAATAGTAACCAAACATGACCGGTATACATGGTCCACAACAACAGTATCACCCACCGGGGTAGATACATGGACAGGTAAAGCAAGACACCCTCAGTTCGTACCCAAATGATGAGCAAAATATGAAGACACATAGGAATAGGTGGAACCGGGATCAAATAAAACTGAGGCATCCTTGTGGCAGACTGAAATAATACCTGTAATAACAGCATCTGAAGCAATAGCATTTGTCCTACCCTGGAGAGCATAAAAGCGAGCCTGACCACCGCCCGGTCGACCACCACCCCTGGGGCGACCCCTGGCTGCCTGACCCTCACCCTTAGCTGGCGGGGCGGGTGCTGAAGAAACTGGACCAGAAGATGAGGGCTGACCCCTCTACTGAGATGAGCTAGCAGCACGACGAGGACACTCCCTCCGCATATGCCCGATCGAAAAGACTCGAAAAATATCGAAATTCACGAAGTTGGCAAAACCCGAGCCCCGGGCCCACTTCTCGAAAAATCAGAAAATTAACATCACCGGATTCCTTATCTCGCCACGAGTCTATACATATCAAATTTACCAAAATCGGAGTCCATTTGACCCCTCAAATTCCATTTTGAAATACCAAATTCCCAAGCCCTAGCTCTTCCATTTTTGGTTAAATTCCCATGAATTTCTAGGTTAATTTCACAATAATATCACGTTTTTAGTTCATAAAACTTACCTCCAACCAATCCTCTTCAATTTCTCCCAAAGAGCTCTCAAAATGTTCAACAATGGAGGAAAAATGACTTAGGCTCGCGGATGATATATTTTAAAACCCTTCTGCCCAGGTGACCTTTTCCTCTATGCGAACGCGAGGGCTATCTCGCGTTCGCGAAGCTCAAATTTCCATCTGCCAAAAATGCCCTATGCGGACACGGCCCACGACATGCGAACGCGAAGCTTCCTCAAAGGCACCTACGCGAACGCGACTGCATGCATGCGAACGCGAAGGCAAAAGAAACCCCTGAGCCTCAATTCCTTATACGCGTTCGCGGCTACTGCCTCGCGAACGCGATGCACACACAGCTACCCCTCCGCGAACGCGGAATCACATATCGCGAACGCGAAGAGTAATTCACCTGCCTCTCAAGATCCTTCATCGCGAACGCGTGACCCTTACGCGAACGCGAAGGGTTAATTCTCTGCAACACATAGCTGGAAAAACCTGCAATCCTCAAAGGCCAAAATTGGTCCGATTGACCATCTGAAATCACCCCGAGGCCCCCGGGACCTCAACCAAAAGCACCAACACATCCTAAAACATCATTCAAACTTGTTCCAATCATCAAAACACATCTAACAATGCTAAAATCATCAATTCTCACCGGATTCAATCCTAAGTTTCTCAAAACTTCCAAATTACGCATTTGCTCAAAAAATCGACCAAAACACCTCCGAATGATCTGAAATTTTGCACACACATCCAAAATCACCTAACGAAGCTACAGCAACTCTCAGAATTCCATTCCGACTCTCGGATCAAATTCTCACCTATCAACCGGAATTCGCCAAAATACTAACTTCGCCAATTCAAGCCTAGTTCTACCCCGGACCTTCAAAATCAATACCGATCGCACTCCTAAGTCATAAATCAACCCCCGAAGCTAACCAAATCACCGGAAATTACATCCGAGCCCTCTAACTAATAGGTCAACATTCGGTTGACTTTCCAAAATAAGCCTTCCTTAAAGAGACTAAGTATCTCATTTCCATCCAAAATCAATCCAAATCAACTCATTCACCCAAGACTCGTATAATAAAACATAAGGAAGCAGAAAATAGGGGAAACGGGGAGGTAACTCATGTGACGACAGGCCGGGTCGTCACAACTTTACTTCTCCAAGAATTTGACCTTGAGATAAAAGACAAAAAAGGAACAGAAAATCAAGTAGCTGACCATTTGTCTAGATTAGAAAACCCTCCTCTTGAGTCCTGTGATATAAAAGAAGAGTTTCCTGATGAACAAATTTTTTTCTATCAACTCAGTTGTTACTCAACCACCCTGGTTTTCAAATATTGCAAATTACTTGGTTGGAAAGTGGATACCCCAAGATTTCTCTTACCAACAAAAGAAAAAGCTTATATCTGATGCTAAGTATTATTTGTGGAACGAACCTTACTTGTTTAAAAATTGTGCAGATAATATTATCAGAAGATGTGTACCTGAAGAAGAGATGAGCAATATTCTGTATCACTGCCATGATGGAGCAATTGGAGGACACTATGCAGCAAATCGGACCGCCTTTAACGTATTGGAGGCTGGATTTTTCTGGCCAACACTTTTTAAGGATGCCCGTGCTTATGTCGCACAATGTGACAGGTGTCAGAGAACAGGTAAAATCACTAAGAGAGATGAGATGCCGTTACAATCAATACAGGTATGTGAAATATTTGATGTTTGGGGAATAGATTTCATGGGTTCTTTTCCTTCCTCTCACTCTTTTGAATATATCCTTGTGGCCGTGGATTATGTATCAAGATGGGTTGAAGCCATCCCCACAAGGAAGAATGATGCTCATACGGTGTGTAATTTTTTAAGAAAAAATATTTTTACCAGATTGGCACACCACGAGTCATCATTAGTGACCAAGGGACTCATTTCATGAATAGACAATTTTCTGCTTTGCTGTCAAAATATGGTGTGACTCATAAAACAGGAACACCATATCATGCTCAAACTCAAGGACAAGTTGAGGTTTCCAACCACGAGTTAAAAAGAATTCTTGAAAAAACAGTTGGAATTTCAAGAAAAGACCGGGCTTTAAAATTAGATGATACATTATGGGCATACCGAACGGCATTCAAAACGCCAATTAGAACATCTCCATATAGATTAGTCTTTGGAAAAGCTTGTCACTTACCCGTTGAATTAGAACATAAAGCTTTTTGGGCATTAAAAGCACTGAATCTTGAATTAAGCTCTGCTGGAAGAAATAGATTTTTTCAAGTTAATGAGTTAGAAGAATTGAGGTTAGAAGCTTATGAAAATGCCAAAATTTTCAAGGAAAAAATAAAAAAATGGCATGATAATTTGATCAGACAAAAAAGCTTCAAAAGTGGAGATCTTGTACTTCTTTACAATAGCAGACTTAGGCTATTTCCAGAAAAATTAAAGTCCAGGTGGACAGGTCCCTACAATGTTATAAATGTTACTCCTTATGGTGCAATTGAAATAAAACATATTGATGGCGGAGAAAAGCTCAAGGTAAATGGATATCGATTGAAACCTTATGTCACCAAAATGTTTGAGAAACAGGCTTCAACAATTCTTTTTGCTTAAGAAAAAATTCTAGGTCGAGCTGACGACATTAAACTCAGAACTATATTTTTCTTTTTGTTTGTTAATATTAGTAGTACTTTTATTACTAATATGAGTAAANTATTACTAATATGAGTAAAAATAATAAAATAAATAAATAAATTAGGTACTATAATCTTTCTAGTATTGGGTATATATGTGTGTATATATATGTTACTTAAAATTAATATGTAGACGTTATAATGAGCTATTAGTAGTACGTCTTTTACTTTTTAAACTTTGTAAAAAAAAAAAGGAAAAAAGAGAGAGAATTTATGTACTGCACATAGAAAATATGTATAGTTTTACTATTCTACATAAGTGTTTTAATCTTAGTATATGTTTTTTCAATAAAATAAAAAAAGAAAAACTAGAGAAGATATTTTGAGCCATAACATGTCATGGCCTGTTAAGAACATACAAGCGAACATCAACATGACATGTTTTGCCTCATTTTGATTTTAAAAAGAAAAGAAAAATAATAAATAATTATTGCATTAAATAAGGTTTTAAGAGTAAGAAGTCTCTAGGCCCACATCTGATTAAACTTTTTCACCCCACCCGCTTCACTTCACCTACCACCACCAAAAAGCCACCATCCTCCCATACCAATCTCAGCCATGACCATCATCTGAAGGTACTTTTCTTCTCCCCCTTCTCAAATTTCTCTAGCTACCTTGGTCACAATGTAAAAAGTATTATTTTTTTCCTCCATTATCTATTCTCTTACTCTCTCTCATAGAACCCCCCCTTTGTTACCATCTTCTGCTACTCCTCAAACCCTTTAGGCAAATAAATAACTTCCTTGAAGAAACCCCAATTAGAATGTAGTTCAAGGGCCCCTAAGAAACAGCAGATTGATCCAGCACTATGGATAATCTCTGGAAAAAAATCGGACTGTGGTTCAAGAATGCGAGATGGAGTTTTTGCCAACTGATGAAGAAAAGGCTCGTGAAATTTTTGAGACCATCAGATCTCTAGGTTGGGGTTCCTTTGTAAAAAGTCCAGGAGATTATGTTAGAGAAATTGTCCTTGAATTTTACGTCAACCTCAACAAGCTAGATAGGACATCAAAGGTGAAAGGTAAGACTATTCATTTTGACTCTAAAATACTGAATGATATCCTTGAATGATGTTGATGATGAAGATATTAGAGTCAAAATGAAAGAAAAAGAAGGCACTTTTATGAAAGAAGCTCTGGAGGTTATTTGTCCAAAGGGCGTAAAAATTAATACGGGAACATCAGAAAATCCTTTGCATATTGCTTGTTCTTGTATGATCGAAACATCGCGCACTTGGGGTAAATTTATAAGTTCTCGTCTTATCCCTTATGCTAATGTATCAAATTATGATCGAAAAAGGGTTATTTTAATACATGCTATTCAGCAAAAACGACAAATCAATGTTGGGAGAATAATCAGTGATGGAATGATCAAGTGTCGTTTTAAGGATTGTAAACTTTTGTATTTTTCGTCTACAATCACTCGTTTAGCGAGAATGTTTGACGTACCAATGGACAATTAAGAGAAGACGGAAAATACTTATGTTGTTGAACAAAATTTTTTGAATAGCTTGATGCCGCCTTATTGTCTTGCAAGTCCACCTGTGATTGAGGCACAACGGGCAGAAACTTCGGGTACTTCCTCATCTACAACTTCAACAGATATTCTTGAGTATCTTCAACAGATATTACAGGAACAAGATGCAATGAGAAAAAATTGGGATACCTTTGCAAATACACAAGCAGTGATGGGAGCGAAAATGGAACGTGTTATGTTAGAGTTGGCAGATACTAAAAATGGTCAAAATTTTATAAGACAGACTCTAGAAAATCATGTTTCTTACACGTCCCCGACTATGTGCTCAATGGAGAACTTTCTGTACAATTTTTCTAATGTTACCAAGTGCTTTAACGGTTCAAATTTTCAGCCACATTCTTTCACAGGTCCGAGCAGCAGTAGTTTTCCTGATGCAGGTACCAGTTGGTGTAAAATCCCACAACTCTCAATCTCAATGCCGCTGCCACCACTTGATCCCATGCCATTTAGCAATGAAGCATTTTTCTCAGATGTGACAACAATCAGCGGAATTGCTACTTCTAGCATTCCTATCCATTTCTTCAATGAAGGACCATCCGATGCTACTCCACACATGGAGAAAAATAATTTTGATATGGATCTTGAATTCTTTCATCATGATGGAACAAGTAGTAGTGGATATTAGTGTTGGGGGAATTCATTTGGTACAATGAACAATCTAAGTGACGGGGAGTTGGTAAGTATTCTGCTCTTTCTTTCCATGGTTCCAAAGATGTGGCTGAAGTTTTTATAAAGGTTACTATATTTTGTGGAAGGAAAAAAGAAAACTTTTGGTTGCTTTGGAGGCTTCTAACTGGAAGTTTCTTTTTTGGTTGTCTTGGTTATGTACTTTTGTTGTAGTGACAAGCTATGGTGATCTGGGTTGACAATCTAACAAGAAACATTTTTTGTTGTAAATATCAATGGCCCATGAAGGGTAGAACTAATATTTTTGTGCTTTTGAAGGAAGAACTTTTGCACTCTTATAGGTAAGATTTGGTGATTGTAAATATATCTTAAATCTATGTAGCTTGTTGCTTTTAGATGCTTAACTTTCATGTGTTTTTTATAAAATGCTTATATTTGTCATGAAAGTGATGCATACCTAACACTCATATGCACTTTGGCAATTTGCTCGTAAAAGGATTCTTCTCTTTTGTAGCAGTAAAATTGATAAATATTTATAATTAAAAAAAATGCTTTTAGAAGATTTTGCACATGAATGACATCAATAAATTCTTGACAACACTTCTGGAAATGTTTCAAATCCATAAGAGCTTTGAGAACTTCTAACTTTTGCCACTATTTTTGCAAATGTAAATAGTCTACTGCAATGAAACTTTGAATTTTGGGAAATAATTGAGACATGAAACTCATGATAGTCAATAACTAGAACTTGCCTCTATTGTTTGTCAAGGCGAAAACCTAGAAAAATACTGATTTTGAAAAATGAATTAGGCTATCTTTGGATCGTTTGAGCTTTTTTGTTAATCCTACCAAAAGAAAATATATCCCTAGTGCCCAAATTTTGAGCCTATATCTTTTCTATTCATAAGCCTTGATGACTCCAAAACCAAAAAGAAAAAAAATTATTATATAACACCCACTTATTATTTTTTCTGGCCTCGTGTTTAAGATAAAAAGGATGACAAGTTGTATATATGTGTACGATCAAAAGGAATGTTGGACAATGAAGTTCCACAACATACACATTATCAACTCGTATCTTGTATATGTATAAAGAAATACATATTTACCTCAGAAAAAGTATCTTTAAGGGAAAAAAGGGGAGAAGAAAAAGAAAAAGAAGCACTTGAATATATATATATATATATATATATACACACACGCAATACAAGTCTATTATTTAAATAAATAAAAAAAAGAAGAAGAAGAGAAGATTATAGATATTAAAATCCTCATAATCATTGCTGATAAATAGAGTCATCCTTTGTACAAAAAAGAGAAGCCAAGAAAGAAAACAAAAATATAGTCACTTTTAAGATATTCCGTTATCCTACCAGCCCCCAGCCTAACATTACAAGCCAATAAAAGTCCTAAAAGATTCTAGAATCAGCATTAATCTACATTAGTGGAGATTGACAAGAAAGGCAAGCCTATGGTTTATTGAACTCCATCTGTGAGCAATCAATGTTCTTGATTTTTTTTCCCCAGAAAATCAAGGATTTCTAACAATGACATTTGCACAGTAAAAGTAGAGGTATAAAATAATGTAAGTTCTTCAAAGTTCAAAAGGATTGACATATCAGGTGAAGTCTTAATTTTTGAAAGGTTATGAATGTGTAGTTATCTCAAAAAAAAAAGTTTTTTCTTTATTTTATTGTCACGATCCAAAAATCACTACGGGTCGTGATGGCGCCGGACACCTCTGTCAGGCAAGCCAACTAAATTATCAATTAAATTCTCTTTTAATACCTTTGAAAAATCTAGGATTTTTCCTTCCATTTTCCATAAATAAAACAATCTCTGCTTCAATTCAAATTAAGAAATAACTATTAGTACACATCTTTCGAAAACCATCCCAGAACCCGGTGTCACAAGTGCATGAGCATCTATTAATAAGGAAAATAAAATACAACATCTGTCCGAAATACAGTGGACAGGGAATAAATATTAAAATGCTGAAAGGAACTACACTAGCTGCGGGTTGCCTCAAACAATGCAGCTCACCTAGTCCCAGAGTCATCCGCGCTGCTACGCCCAGTAGGCCACTAGAGTTACTTATACCTGTGCAACAAAAATGCACAGAAGTGTAGTATGAGTACGTAATCAACGTGTACTCAGCAAGCATCCCGTCTAATCTCGAAGAAGTAGAGACAAGATGGTCAACTTTGACACTTACTAGAGGTCCAATGATAATATACTAAATGTACAAGGAAATCAGGGATTTTATATGGCAGTTCTAACTTACAAAGCCGGACGACAGGAAAAACACCTTCTACAATTAATAAAGGATTTTAAAGGTTTACTCTTCTTTATCTTATCAATTTACATCAAGCCATGAAAGGCAATATCATCATTTAAAATTTCTCACGCATCAATATACATAAATATCATGCGCAAATCATGCCGAGGCAACGGCCCGATCCAACAGAAATAAAATGTGCACTTGCCGAGGGTCGACGGCGCGCCTATAGATGTATCTATTTAATCTGCCGAGGCGTTCGGCCCGTTCCATAAATAAACACATATCCTGCTCGCGAATCATGCATGCGACGCAGGTACACATAGAGATACATGCTCAATCAGTCAATTAAGAACTTATCGGGAATATTTATCCAAATAAAACAATTTCTCTTCTTAACAGTTCAGGAAAATGATGTTTAATCTCTTTTTAAATTCATTTACTAATCCAAGGTGATTTAAGCAATTC